AGCTTGAACTTAGACGAACAAGATCTCAGAAGTGAATAAACTTGCATATATATATATATATATATACATGTATACATTCATTTTATAAATGGAAGTGAAAAGGAGCACCTCCAACAGAGGGAAAATTTATTTACCAAAATCGTTGGTCCATGTATGATCCCTCGCCATGCAAGTCAATAAACACATTAAAGAAACTCAAAATCCGTGTGCATATGTAGATGTATACACACATATGTACGTATACATAAACACGAACATCGAGTGAGGAAGGTGGGATACATAGATAAGGGTGTAAATGGACAAAGTTCCAAGAGATCAGGTCACTAGGTAACTTCCATTTATATATCTTTCATAAGAAAACATTCACTACCAACAAAAAAGAATGTCGGTGGTCTACACATACACAATCGCTCTGTTGGTTTATTAATTAATTCGTGTATAAAAAAGACAAGGATGAATTGTTGTTTCTTAGATATCATAAGAGCAGTTTTAAGCATGCCAAGGGTTTTTAGTGTTCTACACTCTTTCGAACATAGAGGAGTAGAATTTTCTGTATCTTCATCTTTTATTAGAATCTTAATTATTTGTTAAAATAAATTTTAATTTAACTTGATTATTACAATTTTATTAATATATTTACAATGATTCTAAAATTTCAAGTGTTAGCTTTGGATATTACGAAAACTAGAGAAGTATAAGGACAAGTATTTCTCTTATTGTTAACACTGGAAGAAACATATTACATATATGTATATATGTATATATATATATATGTATATGTATGTAAAGACGTATGTATATTAATTACTTGGGGTGGTGAAGGGTTTTTTGGAGAAAGAAAAAGAGAAAATCCCAAGAAGCAAGAAAACAAAAAAAAAAAAAAGTATGCCATGATGATATCTTTATGGTTATTGTACGTTGAGATTGTGTTTTTTCATGTTTACTGCAACTCTTCTTCTCTTCTCTACTTTCATGGCTTCTAGGGAATTGCAGAGTAAAAGAACCCACCACCTGATCTGTATTTACTTTTATATATATATATATATATACATAAATTAGATTAACTTTGATTTTTTTGCTTTCAATTCCATAAAATAATATGAATATAATATAAATTTGAAAACTTGTCATCGTGGGTGTAAAATTGAAGGTAAAGGAGATCATAACAATAAGTCTGGACCATTAGATTGTATGCTTTGTCTGATTTCACTTAAATCATTCTGTCTGTGTTAAAAGTAGTTAGTCTTAATTATTTTCATTTCAAATTAAAGTAATTAATTAAATAATTTAACCGTTTAATTTTAAATCCTAATTGGAACTAGCTCTTCATCAAACTCTTTATTTAAATTTATCTTCTTAAATTTAATTTATTTTTGAGGTTTAACCACATACAATATTTTTCCAAATACCTCAGTGTGTATAATCCATTAGATCTAATCGTCTATCTAATAGAATAATTACTTCATAATTTATACAATTAAGTAATAATCCAAATAGAAGTGGTTTCATACTACCAAAACAGGAACAAGTGAAATGCATACCATTCGGGGGCAGCAGCCGAAAAAGAAAACATATCAATTATTTATAGAATAAATACAGGTCATCTGTAGAACATTCCATGGAAAGGGAAACAGAAGAAATTAGGGTTACCCAAAAAATTTCCCAATGAACGTTGAAACCTGCAAACAAATGGATCTGACCTTTTCTAATTTGTTAGGATCTCTACACTAACCTCCAATTCCTTCATTTATGGGGAAAAAAACTTCCCCATCCACATTGAGATGCAGGAGAAGAAAGGCTAATTGATACATCAATTTTCACATAGTTAGGACTGACGATTGACTAGTTATGTTATTATTAAGCATAACTGCCATTGGCAAACGTAATTCGATTTAATCTAAGCAAGAAAGGAGGGGAAAAAAATAACGAAAGAAAGAATATCGATATACAACTGATTCTTCTCAGCTGATTCCATGAAGAAGTTCAGGGCCCGAATCATTCTCAATGGGCAGATTTAGATCCGGTAGCATAAAGGGTGTATCCCTGCTCCCAACCTCCTCTGCTTTTGAAGAACCATTGTCGGAAGTTGCATGATCATGCACATCCGGTGCAACACCTGTTGGTAAGATTTTGCATGCGGTATCACTAGCTAACTCCATTTCCTGGGGTAGGACTGGAGTAGCTACCTCAGACTCCATACATGAGTATTCTGTTTTTGTCGACTGACGAGATAACCAATCAACCTGTACAAAGAAACAAAAGATTTCTTATATTCTATTAAGCTGTACAAGAAAATAAGTAAAATGGGATCAGCTGGATTTCCCTGGTTCCACATCGTTCCTGCTAATACATGTACTGGAAAAAAAAAAAACCAACACTTAGTAAGAGTCAACTAAATGAGACACAATGATGACCACCTTTTCATAAGAAAAAATAGAGATTCTCTGCCAGTTAGTTTTACCATAACACCCTTAAGTTTATCTTTCAGCTTTCTGTTAGATAATGATTACAACAACCTACTCAAGGGTCACCCTATCACTTGACTTGTTATTGTACAACTTGCGATTACTCATAGTGACTTTGGCACTGGATCTTATTGCACAGGAGCTCTGTTATTGCCAAACGCTCACCCAACTAAAAGTACCCTTTTGAAGATTGTGTGCCATTTTGGTTTCTGGAACTAGGTCTATGACCATACCCAGCCTGCAAATAGTACTGCCGACTATTTCTCTCATTCTTGGATTGGTAATGATCTCGATCATTGTTCTCACACAAAAGAGGTATTCAAGGACCTACTAATTTGTGCACTGACACATAAAAAGCAAGGATCTGAACTTTATAAATTGCCACTTTGAATAAGAGAACATGGGCTCCATATAAAACTAGAACAGCAGGAACCCAGACAGCCTACTGGAAACAAACTTGGTAATTATTGACTGTTCCACTTGACTAACCATTAATACCTTATAAGAAATGCAGAAAGAACCTAGTTCCACCAAAGTAAGCAATTAACTTTAGGCATACGCTTGGAGCCATGTGAAAACAGAGAATACGTGGCAGAACCTGAGACTAATATAGCATCAAAAGTAAAGCATCAAAAAGGATGCATGACATACACTGTAGTCACAACAATATCTTGTTAGTGATACAAGAAGGACCAATATGAACTAATGCATACATAAATATATGCAAAGATCAGTGTGTTTTTTTATACTGATAATCAAACAAATGTTTGACATCTTAGAAAATTAGAAAGAGATAAACATATGCAAATAGACAGATAGTGGGAGTTCAGAGAGTTTCACCTTTGTCCTCTTTAAACTTTCATTTGTGGTTCTTTGCTTCTCAACCATTTGACGCAGAGTTTCCAGTTCCTGCTCAATAGGTTAAATGAAGTGTTAAGGTAGAAATATTTAAATGCAGAGGAAAATGAGGATAAGAGAAGAAAATCTGTTCAAAAAAAATTGAAGAAACATACGTTCTTCAAACTTTTCCTTTCTTTTAGGAGCAAGCTCTCCTCCTCTTTAAGTTCAGCTAAAGTCTGCAAGAAACAAAAGACTCAGTCAACCATGAAATACATCACTGTTGTCACTCAATTAAAAAAAAAAAATATTTCCTTTTTGTAAGTCTGGCAAGGTATTAACAAGATGATCCCTTAAAAATTTATTGCTCCTGTAAATATGTTACCATTTATGTCAGAACGGTAGTAAGAAGATTAAGTGTTGGGTCTAGAGGAGGATTAAAATGGTAGATACGGCCATAAACGCCAAATGATTGATTTTGGAAGCACTAAAAACCTGATATAACGCCAATCTTGTGATATTCTCATTAATTATTTAACAAGTCAATAGTCATTCTTAAAATTTCAATTTTACCTTTTTCTTCCTTGATCTTTTGGGAGCAGTTGTCTCGCTGGTAAAAACAACCTGTACAAGGAATAACATAAATAATCAACAAAGACATTTTTGTAAACGAGGTCCAGTAATAAATTAAGAACGTTTTAACATTAGTTTCAAAGCCCCAAAAGCATTCAACAAGGACAGAAAACAACTGCAGTCGAAATGTGTATTTTGCAGACAACTCATTCGGAATGGCAGCCTTAAGACTGACCAGATAATGCAGCTTTTATAAAGACAGCATCCAGATTAAATACACGAAAACAGGCATAAACCCATCATGACTTACACATTTTATGAAATATTCCACGTACCCTATCACATTCCTTTCAGAACAAAAACGAAATACACACGGCTTGATAAGTAATTTTGGATTAACAAAAATAGATTCGGCGAGAAGCCACGTTTTTTTTTTTTTTTTTTTTTTTTGAACTTTTCGATTGGGAGTTCCAAGTATTACGAAATTTCACAAGGAAAATTCCAAAGAAAGTTCCTTGTCATAAAATTCTCAGTCAATAAGGAGTTTTACCGAGGGACCACCTCTGATCCCAGAATGAAGCTGCAAAGACATTTACATCATAATAATAATAATAATAATAATAATAATAATAAAGATAAAAAGGAGAAAGAATCTTTAGAATATTAAGACTTATGAGAAAGAAGACTCTCCTTCCGAAGCCAATAGGATTGCGCCACGTCAAGGAAGAAAAAGTTGTCACGTGAGATAAACGTGCGCGTGTATTCACATTCCAGAATTAAAGATGTGGATTCAAAAATCACGGACTTCACAATTTACACCACCCATTTTTTGATATTTACGAATTCACCCCCCCAACCCTCTACCTTCCAATCTGAGTTTGGTAATACCAATAACCAACAACTCAGCTTATGCCATAAATTTGGTGATGAAGTGGGCCCCACCCCTCCAACTGAACTACCGCTTGGAAAAAATATTTTCTTTATTTTTTATTTTTAGTTTAAATTCCACTTCATCATCATGCATAAAACATTTTTTTGACCATGAATTTTACCTTTTTGACACTAGGAGGATGCAAATACCAAACGAACAAGTGAAAAACCAAAAGCTAAAACGACAGCCTGTCACACAACAGGAATTACAGCCCAATCAAGAAAGCCCCCCCCCCCCACTTTCTCCTACTCTTCAAGATAAATAATAATTCTCACATCTTTGACCGCGAGATTCAAGAGTCAAGGGTTCCGATCAAGATGAGGGGAAGATATAATCTGAGTGGTGTCCACGTGAGAAAATTGGTGCTCACACAGGAACAGCAAAAATGCGGCGACCGCACAGGATTATTTCCCTTTTTGAATAAGGTCGACACATAAAGTGTAGATCCACTACCAACACTACACCAAACTTCACGCAGACCTATTTTGCCACGAAAACACGCCACCGATAAAACAGGTACCCCCCCTCCCCCTTTTCCCACTCAATTTACCAATATACCCCTCGTCTAACTCCTAGAGTTTGACTCTTGTTAGGGACAATTTGGGAATTTCACAACAATTCTCTGACCAATTAGACATTGACGCTTACGAAAACTTTTTACGGATTCACCAGAATGCCCTCAGTGGAAAACCTGTGAGGGTATTTTGGTCTTTTTGCAAGATAGGCTTGACACGGATGCATGGGGTAATGAAAGCGGAGAGAAAAAGCGTGACTCCATCAGTTGAATGAAGGTCACCAAAGTTCTCTTAAATAATAAAAATGGAAATTTATATTCGTTGATTTAAAACAGGGCAACCCGGTCAACCAAATTTCGAAACGGAAATCACTCCGGTGGCCGGAATATACGCCGATCTGGAATTTGAAATTACGTAAACATCCCTGGGGATTCACGATATAGCCCCATGCAGTAAGGGCATAATCGTCAAATCAGAAACAACCAAAACGACGGCTCCTACGCAGAAACGAAAAGGAAAAAAGCAAACACCGAAGCCTAACACAACTGCTAAAACTAGGGACTCGCCACTGTCAAATATCTCAATTTTCGTAAGGGCATTTACGTCACCGATCAAACAACAAAGTGAGAGAACAGCCAACAACCGAGTCAACTCACACGAAATCAATTACTCGACTCAGCATCGCCGGTCGGTCAGTCCAATGAGAGAAGAAAATACGAAGAAAAAACTTCGACAAACCTTAGATCTCGTGTTGTCAATCGGCTTACAAGGACGGCTCGACTCCTCGATGCCGTCAGCGACGCCGCCGCTGACCGACGTGGCGCCGCTCCAGGAGAGAGGAGTTGTCGGACTGGCGCGAGCGGAGTCGGATTTCTTCCTCGGAAGCGGCTTGGAACGGCGCTGACGCACGGTCCACTCGAGCTGGAGAGGAGGCGCGGTGTTCTCAGAGTGCGGCGGAGGTTGCGGTGGCGGCTCCGCCTGATGGAGCTGAAGAAGAACCTCAACAACCATTAAGTCATCCCTCATAGCCACTCGGACCCACTCCTCCTCACTCATAGTCTCTCGACGTCGCTTTAAAAAGAGAGAAGGCAAAAGAAAAAGGAAGACGGAGAGAGAAAAGAAAGATGGTGGCGAATGGAGAAAATCTTTGTATGAGAGGTTTTATATGCGGTGCGTACATATGAGAGAGAGAGAGAGAGAGAGGGAGAAGAAGAAGAAGAAGTAGATGCTTTGTTTGACAGGTTTTTATTAGTATTTATATTTTCCTTTTTTCTTTCTGGTGTTATGGATCTCTCTCTCTCTCTCTCTCTCTCTCTCTCTCTCTCTCTCTCTCTCTTTTGTTCTTTTCTCTGCGTTGAATGCGGGACCCAGTGGGGGAACACGTGGCAGAGACCATTTGTGGCAAGCTTTTTGCTTCATGTTTCGGATTAGCCAGGGGTGCTTGAAGTGCACGCGCGCGAGGGAGAGTGGGAGCGAATAACGCGGTCGATGGAATTGGAATGGGGTATTGGATGGTGGTGTGTCAGTTAATTACATCTTTAGGGTTTTATTATTTGACTAATGTAAAATAATAAAATATCTTTTGCACATAATTTCAAAATAAATATAAAATCACCTTTATATATTAAGAACTTATTGAATCGGTAAAGAACGCTTGTTAACTAACCCTAGGAGGTAGGAATAAATTTACATGCTTACATTTTAAAGCACTACACATATAAGGAATAAATTTTATTTCATCTTCTCAAAATCTATATATATATATATATATATATGAGTTGCTCTCACTTAACTAAATATATGTATATGTGTTATAATATACCTTTGAATATCTCTTTCTCTCGTTTGAGTCTTTATTTCTCTCTCTTTCGTGCACTTATGTCTATCTCTTATATATATATTTTTTTTTGCTTCTTTTTTTTTTTTATTCTCTTTTTCTCTATTTTTCTACTGTTCGATCATTATCTATTTCTGTTTATCAACTTCTTAAAAAAAACATTGAGAACAATTATTTACGTGACATGTCAAGCTTAAAGTTTTGGAGAAAAATATATGTATTTGTTCGATGTGGCATTATTGTGGATACTTGATTGTTATTACTCTTCAAAATTATTTTATAAAATATTTTTATACATATATAAAATAAAAGGTTAAAAATAATAATGATATATGAGTGTTTTAAGTTTTTAAGTCTCTAAGATTCGTATTAAATGTTAGTAATTGTCACATGTTTGGTGCTTATTAATAAAAAATTATGTTACTTAACCACGTCAACAACCACGTAGACATGTCAGCAACCATATGAAATAAAAATAACAGTACTAACTTGAATTAATAAAGAGGAATTTATTGACTTACTTTTGAGACTACGTTATCAATATAAATACTCAAAAAAAACTACATGGTAAAAATTGAACATTTTTAAATAGTACATAGAGAAATTGATTATTTTAGCCAAAATTAATTTTTCAAATGCTTTTATTACTTCTAATGAAAATTATAATTGTACTGCTTAAAATAAGCACGTTTAAAAAGAATTTTGTCATATAAAAAAAAGTTTATCTCATTTCTTAATCATAAGATCATTTTTATTAGTTAGATTTAAAAAATAAAATTAAAAATTACAAAAATATCTTATATGCCCTTATACTATTTGATTTTTTCTATTTAAGATTATATACTATTTGTTTAGTAATATATTTTCAATTTTTTTATTGATTCAATTGTCAATACTAACTGGTTGTTTGGGAGCTATTAACGATTATACATATAACGGTAACGTATTAAAATCATAATATATAAGCGATAACATGACACATGATATGACAATTGCGTCTAATTAACGATCTGAAAAAATTTATTTGGGTCATTTGATTCCTCTATTTCTCATTCTAATATATATATATACACATAGGAAAAAAATAATCATTCAACAAGCAGTCACTCACATTTAATGCATTCCCTTATAAGTATAACAATTAAACAACATTAGGACAATGCTCGTGAATTTGTTCACTCTCTCCACTCAATTACACATATTCGATTTAAAGGGTCCATCAAACATGTCATTAAATCAGTCCGTAATGTCTCCCGTCTCTCAAGACAACTTTCATCCATGTGTACACCTTGCTTGTTTGGGACCTAAACTCATTTAATTTGTCTAGAACCAACAGTTACATTATTTTAAAGATTTGCGAATCTCCTCCATGACATCACCAAAGTTTGGGAAGTAATCATGGAGTGTCGCAAATGGTCGTTGGTTGTCTTGATAATTGGTTTAATGATAGATATTGGGTGCATAAGCCTTCATTCTCCGAGCATTAAAAAGACTAATGCTTACAGCCATTCGCAAGTTGAATTAGGTCATTTTGCACGACGACTTCTCCTGCATATATATATATATTTTTGTACACAATAATAATAAAGGAAGGAGTAAAGGGACTCAGATATAATTTTTAGATTTTTAATATGATATGGTTGTTGCATTCACATGTCACATTATTACTTATATATCATTATTTGGACATGTCATCAACTACATATACACTTGTTAATTGTCTCAAAATGATAGTTAGTGTTGAAAGTTACATCAGTGAAAATTTAAAAATAGAAGTTAAAATACACCAAAAAATAATATATGCACTCATATGAAAAAAAATCAAATAGTACAGGAGCTTATAAAGTACTTTGCTCAATTAAAAACAATACTTACTTTTTATTTGCTTACAGTTGCTTTTAAGTTAATAAACATATTTATTTTAATATTAACGAATGAAAGTTATATTGCTAATGAAATAAAAGCAACCTTCAAATGTTGTAGGCAATACATAGACCCTTCGTAATCTTTGTGTTGTGTGAGAAAAAAGATAAATTATAGTTTAATATTGTGTGATTTGGCTATTTTTACTTTTATATATTTATGATGCTTTGTGGGCATAAATATTTAATTCATATTTCTACTATTTTATTATGTAAAAATTGGTTGCTAAAACTTTTCTCCAAATACTCTAGCTTTCCTACATCATTTAAATCGAAAAATTGAAGGTGGACATCATATAAAAATACTTATTTGCTTATTTACTTTAAAAATCTATTAACATTTAAAGCAAAAATTTTGAAACACTAAGTAGATAGTTTTTTTTTTTAATGATAATATCATAACTCAGGTCAAGAGCTAAAGAACTAAGAAACATGAGCATTTTTTTGACACATTAAAATTATCAAATATGATACGAAAAAGTTAACTATAAACTTTGTGTACAACTAAAACAAAAGTTAGAAAAAAATGAATTATAAAAAAATATAATGTCACCAAATAACAAAGGGAATTTGATTATGAAAGAAAAAGAAGTAGGAAAAAGAGAAATTACTTGTTTATTGCATTCGAGAAAATCAAATTTAAGTATTAAATAACTGTTGTTAATTAAATCATACATCAAAGTCAATGCCTAGCATGCTCCATTGTCTATGGCTTAAGAATTCTATATCATTACAAAAATTCACCATTTCGATGGAATCTGTATGGATAGCTTTCATCATTGCCCAATGAAAATTAAAAGAATGAAGCATATGTAGTTCATTTATATAACTTTTTTTGCTAAGAATTACGAGAATCTCTATTATTCAAATATATCTCTAACTATTCTAGAATTAATTTCAACCAAAATATATTAACTATATTATAAAACTCAACTTATTTATAATTATCAAAAGCTATGAGACCATAAAATTATTTAAATATAATTGAAAACCAATCGACCTACTATTGAACATCCCGATTCAATTTAACATGTAATTACCAAGTAAAAGTCGAAGATGTAAAAGTTGTGTTAATTAATCCCAATGGGTTAATCTTTCAAACCAGCTTAGTATAAGAGTAACTTCTAAACGCATGACTGGTTGACTCTTCGTGAGAATTGCACAGAGGATAAGTATCACTTATGTAATCATAATTTTGTTTTTGTTTTTATAAATAAAACTTTCAATATAATCTAACTATATTACATATTTATGCAATTTATATTGAATCTTTATTAATTATATTCTTATTTCATTAAGTGAATTAAATAAATCCTAATGAAAATTAACACTAACATATAAAATAATAAAAGGTAAAAACAGATTAATTTATTTCCAAAAGAAAAAAAGAATTACAAGGAGTGAAATTCTGAAAAGATTAAAAGTTATGAATTTTGAAAAAAGAAAAAACAACAAAAACAAAAACAAAAACCCTTTCACTCGCCGGTCTTCTTCAACCCCACAAAAAACCTAACTTTCAGAACAGAACACTCTCCAGCATGGCTCTCCATCTCGCAAGACCTAAGCATAGGTCCCTTGCTAATCCTTCTCTCATCCATCTATTCTCTACGTCTTCCACCGACCAAAATCCTCCCAACGATGCCGAATCGGCCGGCAGTCCCGCTGGACCTTCTTCTCAATCTTCATTTTCTTCATATTTCAGTGATGTCAAGGCCAGTCTCAAAGAGAGGCAGCATCAAAAACCCCAACGTTCCTCCTCAAATTCTGCCTCAAATAACCCCACAAGCCGCAAAGTGGTTTCCCTCGAAGAAATTCGTAAAAATCTCTCTGAGTTCCGGCGACGATCCACTGTGCCTTCCCCTACCGAATCCAACTCGCAGCCCCACGTTTCCTTCCAAGAGCTCTACAAGAGAAACGTAATTGCCAAGTCTGAGGGTTCCGGTGGAACTACAGCGGATTCCGGGACCGGAAAAGGCGTGAGGACGTCGTTCGAAGCAATAAGGGAAAGCTTGCGGCAGATGAGGTTGAACACGGAGACTGGAAATGAGAAGAAAGGACCACAGAAAGTGCCATTGTCGTCTTTTATGGACAGCTTGAGGCTGAAGCCGAAGGATTCGCCGAATATGGATTCTACGGTGATAGGCGGAACGGAGACATTGCCGTTTTCCGTGTTTGGAAAGGAAATGAAGGAGAGGAAAGATGGAGAGGGAGGGGAGGGGAACGAGGCTATGAAGACCGAGTTTGTTAAGATGTATAGCTATGGGGAATTGGGGGAGAAGCTGAGGATGTTGCGGCCGGAGACGAAGGGAGGGAAAGCAGGAAAACGGTGGTTTTCATTGCAGGAGTTGAATGAGAGGCTGATCAAGTTGAGAGAGATGGAGAAGAAGGAGACCGAGTCACGGATAAGTGGGGTACCATATAAGGATTTGAGGCTGTGCTTGGTGAAACTGAAGAAGTCTGATGAAGAAAAGACTAAGAGAACTTCAAGTGAGTTGGAAACTGATTCGTTATTTTCATTTTACATGTTAATGTTGTTTGATAGTAAAGAAATTAATTTAGTAGGTTCCTGGGGACGTGCATTGTAAGCCAATAATTTGAATAAGAGAAGGAAATGTTGTTTGATATGCTTGATTCTGTATACTTGAATAACCTAAAGGAAAAGTTGTGAATCTATAATAACCTCTCTTTAGTTGTCAAAGAGCTGTAGAGAAAGGGGCTAGCCTGAAACTCATAGGTGATGAAATTTTTATCTCTGTGCAGATAATTTACCAAAACTCAATTCAAACTGACATGGTCTCGAAATACCTTGCATTTGGAAAATTCGTTTGGTTTGAAAGTTTGATTAGTGCATTAAAGAGGGTAATGTGTAGAACTGTTTTGGCTATATGAACCACCAATTCCAAATTACTTCTGTTTCCAAACTGCAGGAAAACAAAAATGCTTACCTTTTCGACTGCTTCATTCTTTTGGTTGTAGAAACTGACACTATGTTTGGTGCAAATGAATGTAGAATTCATTTGCAAATTCACATTTTCTATTCACATTAATCCACATTTTCATTTTTGAAATGTGAATAAAAAATATTGATATGCGAATTATATTCCCTTTTTATCAAATTCATTGTTTCAAACAGGGCTTAAAATCTAAAGATGACCTTGGATGGGCTAATTTCTTGTTTGCTGCTTTATCATCGGAAGATACTTGACTCTTGAATGGCTTTTGATCACAAGCTTTGAGCTTTTGGTCAAATGATTTCTTTTACTGCCTGTCAAAAAAATGATTTATCGGTACTCTGAAAATGCATAGAGTTGTAATCTCAACTTACCTTTTATCAGTTTATTCTGGTTTCTTAGTACAGGTTTGGTGTTCGGATAAATTAAAGTGTTAATTATCTAACGTTCACTTAACATTACTTTCGTAGTTACTTTTTCTGCTTTGGAATGTCACTTCAGACAGATTTCATCTGATGAAAATTTGTCTGCACGTATAAATGAATAACACATAATGTATTGATAGATTATTTTTCCAGTTCAGAGAATTGATATCTTGGGCCAGCTGGGTGGAACTCCAGACTTTATGTTGCTTCCCCCTAAAGAGCATCTGGTTGAAAAGGCAAGTTCAATTTCCTTTTCATTTTTTATTTTTTTACTATTGGCTTCCTGCTGTGATTTATGAAATGAAGCTTTCTTTTAGAACCTTATCTGTAACATTTTTATTTTCCCTTGGCAACCTCAAACATAAAAGGGATTGGACTGTGCATCTATCCATGCCTTTGTCTACCGGGAGTGCAACTTATTTATCTACAGAAGTAGAAGCAAATCCTATGCATGCTACTGCCTCTGTGCTGTGCTTCTTGGATTCATCAACTAGTTTTCAGTTAAACTACATCATAAAATAAATTAACTGGACCTTCCCAATGCTGGCATTTATGTGATTGATTGACGTGATATGCCAATTATTGTTCTTGTTATGCGAGTTTTGTCTGAAAGGTGAATCTCTTTCAATTAAAAGGAGAATTTCTGGCTGTATTGGTGCGGTTGCTACCAAGCAAGTTATGCCTTCTTTTCATGACTAATAATCTGATATCATAATATTTCAAATTGTTCCCACTGCAGTATTTCCACCCAGATAACATGTCTTCTGCCGAAAAGATGAAAATTGAACTTACGAAAGTTAGAGAAGAGTTTAAGATGTCTGAATCAGATTGCGGGTCTGCACGCGTTCAAGGTAAAATGTGGCCTTAAGCAACTACT